TTCCGAATTTCCGCCAATTTGCAATTCGAAAATACAAATGAAAATAATAAATAAAAAAGAACGGCCGCATCCTTGAATGCTCTGATCCTCGACGTTTCCAGCTCGTCGCTTTTGATTTGTATCAAATATCGGAGGGAGAAGCAGCGCAAAATACAAAACTCAAAACTGTCTGAGGAGCTATTCAAACAACAATCAGAGCTGAAAGGTGCATTGCATTGCATGTGTGTGTGTGTGTGTGTGTGTGTGTGTGTGTACAGGGTATGCATTGTGTATACCCTGGATATAAATATACCATTGTGGAGTTCGCTAAATTGCACTCAATACTGCTGCCACTACTCCTGCTCCTGCTGCTGCTCCTGCTGCTGCTCCTGCTCCTGCTGCTGGCATAGAAGAAGTCAGAAGTCGATCAAGTGTGGCGGCTCATCCCAAACGTGGAGAATCGAATAGGGATTGCAAAGCTATGCCAAGGACTTAAGGAGCTGCCATATTCCTCGAGCTCTGCTACTGCTGCTGCTGCTGCTGCTGCTTCGTCTTCTTCTTCTCTATTTGTGTGCGTGTTTTGCTTTGTTGTTTGCAATGGTCTTGGAAAACATTCAAGTGGAAGTCCTTTGAGCGATTTGATTCCCTTTCGGCAGCAGTTGTCTCGCTCTCGCCCAGGTGCACCGACTCGCTCCCACCCACAGCCTCGATTGTTGCGCTCTGCATGCAAAATTTGTTTGCAGTTTTCCTGTCATTGTTGGCATTCTCGGCACTCTCGGCATTCACGGCATTCTCATCATTGTCCTGCGCCTCGTCCTCAGCCAAACTCCAAATGCGCTCTCGATGCCTGTTTGTTCCGTTTCGCTTTGTTGCCGAACCGTGTTCTGCTGTGTTGAGCTGTTTTTTGTTTCATTTTCTTTTCAATTGCTGCAATTTGCATGCGCACGCTTTCCTCCCTTTCCCTCCGTTTCCCATTTGCCATTTCCCATTGTTCGACAATCATCTAGCAAATTGTTTGGCTTATGTTTTTCTGTGTTTTGCCTCGGACGCCACCTAATGAACCCCGCACTGCATATGCACCTAGTACTACTCCCTCTCCCTCTCCCTCTCTCACTCTCTCACTCTCCTAGTCAACGTTTGATCCAGAACTCGAAATACACTTTTTCCACTGGCCCTCTTTTCACTATTCTCTATTCTCTATTCTCTATTCTCTTGCTTGTGTCCAGCCTGGCTTACCGCATCTCTCCTCGTTAAGCTCTCCAAGCACTCCTAATCTCTTATTGATTGTTCCATTTTCATGCGTTGCATCCGCCGATGGTATGATGTAGCCTCGATAAGGTCAGGCCAGATCCAGCGGGATCTCTGTTCTTAGCGCATTTCCTTCATCTCATTTAGGGAATTGCTCAACTTCGACTTATAGAGATTTGACTTTTCCGTCTCTATAGAGATCGAGAGCCGCTCAAGAGCTTTTCTTGCAATCGAGTTGTCAAGTCTGGACAAGTCCTGACATAATCGAGTGCTGACTTGCACTCTAACAAATATCCTTGATATCCTTTAACCATCTTACTTACAGTCGAGTTTTACATTCCCGTATATTCCAGCCGTATATACAGACTCTTTATCATTCCCATTAATCAATTTACCTTTCATTTAATTTACATATTTATTTATTTATTTATGTATAATTAGAGCTAACTTCAGTTTATGCATTGGCAGCTGGGGCCTTCGACTTGATTTTGTTATGACTATTTTAAGTTTCATTATTGCATTTGTTTTTGTTTTTATATACATTTATATATTTAATTTTAATTTTT